TTCAAAACATAAGCCACAAGATTCCTCTTAACAGGGTTTGCCAATTTAACAAGTTTAGGAATAAGTCTGCATTCGTCGTTAGAAGTGATATAATTAATTTTAGTTATTATTTTTGTAAGTGAAAATATGTCTCAATTTTATCAATAAAAAGTTTCCCAAATTTTTGTAATTTATAGTTTTAGTGGAATTGTTAAGTCATTGTTTCTATTAGTAGTTTATATATACATATTTCTCACAGAAATTTCATAAGAGAGGTATACGTTCTTTACCTTCCCAGGTTGTCTTTCCTCAAAATTAGGTTGGAAGCGAGAAAAATCATACTATGAACTGTACGGTGATAAAAGCTACGTCTAACAACAGACATATAATCTAGCCCTTTACCATGATGCATTTCGTGTGTGGGGGCCTCATTCTAACACTACTGATTGGGTGGCCTTCTCAACGCAACAGCAACAAAAATACTATATACGTGCATATGTGGGGTCTACATACATAAAGTTAGGAGGTCTACAAAAAAAAAAATAAAAGAAAGTCTTGATTAATTTTTGTAACAGATTTGGACTCACAGGTATTATTGGACCTGTCATAAACATTGACACTTAGTACAAAATTTGATACCCATGTTGCTGATCCTAACTAGAATCTAAAAATGTTTAAGCGCATGTAGTGATTTATCTAAATGCAACCTTACGAAGTGCATGTGGTGCTAGCTATACTGAAACTTTCCCACAGCTAAATTTGATGGATGCACAAATATCCTAAATCATTCTGACAATGAGACTATTAACTTCAGAACATCCACAATTGCACTTTACAAAAGTACAATGGCATTTCGAGGTATTCTTAGGCACGTCATTTATATCATGTCTTCAGATCTGTTTAAATAGTAATTTCTATTTGCGTGTTTCTCTCGTGATTCCTTTACAAAAAGAATTCTAAAATCTAACATAGTGAAACCTTTGATGCTGATTGAAGGATTAATTAAACTAAAATTTCACAATTTCCTTTTTCATAAATAAAGCACTATCCATTTAAAAATTATTCGACTTCGAAATTTTATTTTTGGGTGAGTAAGAGAATATTTAAGTCGCACTGTTCAGGTACTCGATGGCTTTAGTCGTTGGACCTCTTAATTTTGAAACATAGTCAAAGGACGAGGATGACACCTGAGCTGGCACCCCCTTCAAAACTACAATAATGGGAAGACTTTTGAGCCTCGACATATTTAACGTGCATCAACCCCCTCTACATGGCAGGTCTTCTGTTGTACAAGACTCGAGCTCATGACACGCAAACCACGAGTCCGTTACCTTGACCACTAGACTATCATCGCTACATCTTACTTTTGGAATAAAAAGTTTCACATTTTATTAATATAAAAAGCAAATTCATTTCAGGAAATGTTAAATATGAAATAGTAAATGAAGTAATTCTTTGGCAAATGTTAAGATATAAGGTAGGAAAAAATTATATACGATGTTTAAATATGCAGAATAATAATTACTCTGTAAATAGGCAGAATAATAATTACTCTGTAAATATGCAGAACTTGAAATAGATTATTGCTACAGTCAACACAAGGCTTAGGTCACAAGAAAGCAAAATAATACCAGCTCAGCACACGTTCTCAATATCTCAAATAATTCCATACTTTCTAAGATGCGATGAAACAAAACACGATATTAAAAAGGACGGATCTAAAATCTCATTTCAGGGACGATTCCTTGTATGAGATCCAGAAGTCTCCTCGTGAGAATGTACTGAAAAAGACGAGATTCAGGTACGGTCTAAAGGAGTTAGGTTGTAGTGTGTTTCAAAACAGCTAATACAAGTTTAAAGTTAATGCAGTTTAATATTTTAATGTTTATTTCGTTGTATACCTTTAGTTGTGAAAAATATCACAAGAGCATATGAATAAAATCGACCCAAAAATTCTACTTAGTCCAAAAACCTTGACATTAGAATTTTTATTTCAAAGAAAAATTCTTAAATTTTTGAATTGGCATTTATTTTTTTAATTACTGCATAAAAAATTCTGAATTGTCTTCGCAATAATGACTTAAAAAAGAGATAAAAAGCGAAAGTTAATAATAATAAAGGAAAAAATATAATAATGGGATAAGTTTCATTTTTCTCAGTAGTACTTAAATCGTAAAAATATTCTTGAAAACACTAATCAGAAACAAAACTCCACCAAAAATGAGGTTTATAATGTCTATAAATATAAATATGGTGAATCGCATTTTTAATAAACTTATGCTTAATGTGGAAATATTGAAAAATAACAAATCTATTTTTTCACACATTTCATTTTCAATCGATTTACTTTTAAGCTAATCAATGATACTTGCTATACATTACTAGACTATAAAACTTGCAGGGTGTGTAGGAGATACAGAGACTACTCGGAATAACATACGAATACATGTATAGTATTTTTCAGTTTTTGTTCAACGAGATTTTTTTAGCATTTTGCATCACTTTTCTCAAATTTTGTAGCAATCTATTAAGAGTTTTTAGCTTCGATGCATTACAAATATCAAATTTGACCTTATAACATCATAAATATAATGTAAAAGTAATGATTTGGAACTATGTGATTTTACGACATTGCAAAAAATTTCATTATGGATTTGTATGTTCAAATGCAAACACAATTTATAAAAGTTTCAATGTTCAAAATTTTCTATAAACTGTACAAGAGATTTCTAAAAAAGTCAAAGATAAAACTATTTTTATGTTTTTAAACATGAAATTTGTGTATTTTTATGCATGTAACAAACTTCTCGCTACGAAAAAAGCATTACACATCTCAGTTATAATTAGTTACTTTGAATAGTTATATTGAAAAACCTTTGAATATTAAAATTTAAAAACTTGTCTAAACAATAAATAAACATTAATATTTGCTATTAAGTGATGTATTAAAAATATATTGTTTAATTTTCTCAAAAGCATGTAACATAAAAATACCATTATGAATTTTTTAAAAAAATGACATTTTTTGTCACGATATATGGACTCCAGTCAAATATTTTAGGAGAATCTCCAAAAAGTAAACATGAATATATAAAGTTACATATCAGTAACATGAGGAAAAAATTTTCATGTACATTCATACATTATTTTCTTAGAAAAAGATAAATGCAGTTTTAAAAACATCTTTTTTGAGAAAATAGAATTTTTACTATAAAGTGCAACTCCGTCACAAAAATAATTTATTCCAACATGTATTTGACCAATTTTATTAAACATTAAAATCTTTGTAATTTATTTTGCATAAAATAGTTAACAAAAATGTCTTAAATTGCCCAGAATAGCATTTTTCAGCTTAATTTAACGAGATATTTTCTAGTAATATATCAATTTTCTCAAATTTTGCATCAATTTTTGAAGAACTTGTGGCTTTAATGCAGTACTAATATCAAATTTTAAAATAAAGCATCATAAATTGAATGTGAAAATGTATCAATGTCGTTTTGGTAGGAATTTGAGATGGTAAATAAAAATACCTGATTATGCGACATTTCCAAAGTTTCCGTGAGTCTTTTGTAAATTTATTATTGGTTTTGTTGTTGCAGACAGTTTTTAAGTTCTAAACTTCAAAAGTTACTCTAAACTGGACAAATGATTTTTAAAAAAAACAAAATAAAACTGTTTTTATGTTTTTAAACATGAAATTTAGGTATTTTTATGCATGTAACAAGCTTCTCGCAAAGACAACAAAAATCACATTTAATGTATCATCTCGTACCTTTATCTCAGAAACTCTATTAAACATAAAGACTCAAGATTTTGTCTATATGTATTAATTATACATTTATATTTATACTGAAATGAATTTTTTGAATATATTAATTAGTTTTTTTTTCAAAACCAAACTTTTAGTTGAACGAACAAATATGATTATTACGAATTTGCTGAAAATTGTCATTTTTTTTATGATATCTGCTTAAGAATATTTCAAAAATGTCACTTCAGTATACACAATTGCATTTAAGAAACAGAGTATATGCATACAGCAAATTAACACAGTTTTTAAAAAAACACATTTAGAAAACAGTTTTTATAAAAAATCTTACCTTGTAAAAGTATTATCCTATTTATTTCCCATCACATATTATCTTCATTAAACTTTATGCAGTTATAAAATTAAGATTCATTACGTATATATTTCTCATCTGGTCGCAATCATATATCCTAATTTTTTTTTTCTTTTAACACTTTACTTAAACACGCGAAGATTTAGTAATCAGTAATAATAACTAATTAAAAATGAGTTTAAATTAAAGAAAAGATCTAAATTTCAGTAAAAATGACTACATTTTAAGTATAATATTTACTGAAACCCACATGAAAATCTGAAATAGTTTCCAAAGGTTTTTAGCAAATCTAACAGTTGCAGTTATACAATTAGCTAAAGTTAATTTGGGTACTAAAATATAAAAATTAATCGAGGCCTTGCAACTTTTCCCCAGTTTTAAAAAGACAATATGTTTACATTTCGATCTGACAAAATGGCCGTGGTAAATCAGCTGATAATTTTTTTAAAAAATCATTTTAAAATACTTTTAATTCATATAATGGCGTGTATGTTATATCATTGGAAAGGTCATGATTAGGAGATTTAAAATATCGAAAACTAAAAATAGATTTCCGAAAGGTTTTTACCCGACTGACTGATCTTAATGTATCACTCTGTGTATCCATATATAATGTAGAATAATTTACTATAAAAATTATGGCTTCAAAAACTTTTAAAATTTATCTATATAACCAAAAGATTATTTTAAAACTTATTTTAAAAACAAGTAATATAAAAAAAATTCAGTCAATTCCTACTCAAGTTAACAAAGAGAAGATTCATTTTAATTATTTTTTATGAAATAGTTATAATTATATATATATATATATATGTATGGTGTTGGAATATTTTTGCGTTTGTTAAAATTTATTCATTCATTAAATTTAATTATTCTAATAAAATTCAGAAATTAGTCCACCCCAGGTGGAATTCGAACCCACGACCCTCGGATTAGAAGTTCAACACGTTATCCATTGCGTTACAGAGACACTGCGAACATTTTACATTTCTATATATGCTGTTGGACTATTATTTTTTGTTTATTACTGTTTACTCATGTTTTAATTTAATTAATGAATTAATATTTGAAAAAACTGTATCAACATCAAGTGTCATCCACTACAAGTTTAAAATATGTATTTGAACTCGAGTGGATGAATAAAAGTATTTTATTAAAGATTAAAAATTTGAACATTATATATACATATATATATTTGTATGTCTATGATAAAATTCTTAACGATATAAAGCATGAACCAAATTTAAAGAACAAATCAATTTATTAAAGTAAGAAAACAGATTATATTTATAGATTTAAATTGCTTACAAGAAAATATAAAAGTTAATTCAGAAAAAGAGAACAGGATTCACCTGTAGAGATGGGGGCGTCAAACATTTCTAGGTTTAAAGAAATGCCGTTTCTAAAGGCCAAGAGGCATCGAGCTCACTCCGTCGTGTCCGGTGTGCGAGTGAAGGTAAGCAAGCAAAAAAACGATCCCGTGCTTATTATAAGCGCTCGACGTCATCGCTCGAATCCCTGATTGGGCAAGCTCCGAGTTCCTCGAGTGACTAATTATCTGAATTAAATGATTGTTTATTCGCAAATAATGTTACATAATATTCCTTTTTTTCTGAATGGGATAAAGTCCTTCTTCATGGATGCATGATTGACTTTTCAAGAAATTATTTCCATATCAGTAATTGCTTAGGTTTTTTTTTCCAGTAATCGCCTAATACTGAAAACATACGAACAACCTAAAAACAAGCAACATTAAATTAACGAACCAGCTCTTTTTCAGATAATTCTGATTTAAAAAAATTAAAAAGTTAAAAAAGAAAGATTCTTAATTAAGGTGGTTTAAAGCAAAAACAAAAAAGATGAAGCAATTAAATGTTGTAAAGTTATTTAAAATAACTTAAAAAATAAGTAAAAATATAGAAATATTAATAAGGGAGAGAAGAAAATAGCAGAAAAAAGTGGAAACGGAAAGCTTAAAATGTAAAAATGCCTCTAAACGCGGTGACGATTCAATTAAAATATAAATTTGTGTTTTTGCTTACTTTACGAGGCATTTACGAAAAAAAATAGCACTATGTCGTGTTTTGAGCCCCTGAGGTGAAATACGAATTGTTACGTGGGAAGAAAATAATACTATTCACACTTTCAAGCAACGATTTTGAAAACCATATATGTTTCTCCTTTTATTTTCTGTTACCTGGGACTAAACTATGATTTTTATTCTGAAAAAGCTTAAAAGGTAAATCTAGTTCCCCTTTCCTTCATATTAAAAAAATGTACTTGTTCCTATTGCAGTTACTTTCTTTATATAAGAGAAGACATAAAAAACATGAAAAGAAAAAAAAGAACTCATAAATATAAGTAAATGAATATATTGTTAACTTTTTGTTTTCATTTTTTTACCATACATCCATAATATTGTATTATTACTTTTCTAAGATATTGAAATAGCTGGGGAGGAAATAAATAAAAAAAATTATTAAATTATTTTTCAAAATAATCTTGTAGGAGAATTAGATAGAGAAATAAAATTGAGAAAGATATATTTTTCCTGTTAAATCCATTCTCTTTCTTCTTTTTTAAGAATCTCTACATTGTATAAAAATATACTTTTTAAATCATTTTTGTATGCTTTTATTTTGATTCACAGAGCTCTAAATTTCATTTGCATTTTCAAGATCTTTTTTGTCAACTCAGGAAATTCCATTCAGAAGAAAAGAATTATTTTTTCTTGCATTCAGTGCAAATATTTTTTTATGTCCATTATTTGATAGAATTTAAGCTGTGCTATACGCAGCTCATTGAATACATTTTTAAAGTTGCTTCTTAAAAAAATAAATATATCATTCCAACCAGTGAGATGGCCAAACCGAAGATCGCAAGCTACTAGTACTTCACAGAGACATTTTCAGTAGATTGCGTTAATGTTTATGTTTTTAAAATGAGTACAGAAAGAGAATCATGCTCATTAAAGTATCCTTTACTTTCGGAACCGTGATTTGCAAAAGCGCATAAATGGATAATTTTCATGACATTTAGTGTCACTTAGATTAGAATATATGCATAAAATTGTTTTAAGGACGTTATGACAAATAAAATTTATTTAAATATAATACTTAAGCGAGATAAATTAACTTAGAATAGCCTTTTTTCCAAATGTTCTCCTTTTGGGAAAAATGCTTCTATTATAATAATATGTTGCCTGTATATAGCTCAGACCTCTCTACAAAGGTTCAACTAGAATTTTTGAAATGTATAACTAAGAATTGGTTTATTCATAATTTACGACAACAGAGGGGAGAAATATTTTAAGAAAAAACGCCAATAATTATTTCAATTGGTGGTAACTCTAAACATTATGTGAATTTTTCAAAATTTCTAGTTGAGCCTCTCTAGAGAGGTCTGAGCTATATACAGGAAAAATATTATTATAATAAAACCATTTTTCACAAAAGGAGAACATTTGGAAAAAAAGATTATTCTAAGTTAATATGCTGCCAAAATATTATATTTAAATAAATTTTTCTATCAAAATGTCCTTAAAACAATTTTATGCATGTATTCTAATCTGAGTGACACTAAATATCATGAAAATTATCTATTTATGCGCTTTTGTAAAATCACGGTTCCGAACGTAGTCGGATACCTTAACACTAATTCACAACTGTAACTGAATGGTAGCCACTACCTACTCTCCCATTGTTAAAAAACTTTCTGATAACGAAAAAAATAGCAGTTCTTTCCTTTTTATTAAAAAGTGAGTCTGATAAGATTCACTTTTATTTATTACTAAATGCACTTCAATTTCTTTCTCGAACAATTCAGTTTCCGTTATTTTATATTGTGTTGTTGTTGATGCCACTTAAATGAAGAAAATCAGATCGAAGCTTACGAGATTCATCGTGGCAAGAGGTTAGTGTTTACGCCTATCATTTACCGCAGCTTTGAGCACCATACAGGTAGGATTTGGCTTGGGGCCACCCTAATTCCAAGGAAGAAACCGGGAGAGGTGGTCAGGGAACTCATACCTCTCTTCTCTTCCCACCATTTTTTGAGAGGACTTGCGACGTGATGAATGCTAAGAGTACCCCCTTGTGCCGTATAGGTAATATATATTTAGAAACATTTATGCCTTCTCCGGGATTCGAACCCAGGGCCTGCAAAGCAGCTGTCAGTGTGACTAACCACTATATAGAATTGGCAGCAGTTTTTTGTTGTACACAGTTTATTTAAAATGTATTTCATATTTATAGTAGAAAGATAAGTTTATAGCCAATAAGCAAATGTAGGACTTTTTTTAAAAAAAAAAATATGTGGTTATTTTGTTTAGTAGTTTACTGTTGGGTTTAAAAATTGTGAGGTAGCTTCAGTAACTTAATGTTTGGCGAACAATGAATTAAAGTATTCTCCATATGAATCTTTAAGATTGAAAAGTAGCTACTTTTCTGTCAACAATGTGCCAATAAAGCTTAAGCTGATTGAACTCAGTGGAGATTGATGGGGGTGGATATTATATAAATAGAGCCAATCAATCAAGACCTCTCGAATTTCTGAAAATAAAGAATAAAGCATAAAAATTACGATGTTTGTCTTTCAAACAATGATTCTCAGCATATTTTTAAAAAGTTGTATGTTATGTCAGCAATTGTACTTTAATTCCTATGTAAAGTCACCAGATGGCATTCTCCTCTGTTGGAATTGAGCCAGACCTTTGTCAGAACTTAACTTTGTTTATACACTCAGGAACATCGAAAATAGCGACTCAAGAAGGAAGCTAAGTACAATCTCGAAACTTTGCAAATAAGTACAGCGTAATGTCATATGCCAATGATCCAAGTTTTGTGCCAATACGCATGCTCATACATGCCGAGGTAGCGCTAAATCTGGAAGACGGTGCTATATAAGCCAGCGCAAATTCGAAGATTCATAAAAGTGACGATTAGCAACCCATTGAAGGAAGACTTTGGTAAGTGAAACATGTGTGCCAGGTAAACGTGTTCACAGTTCAGCGAGTTTGAGAGAGGCCTGATCATCGGGATGAAAACTGCAGGCTGGTTGACGCGCCGTGTTGCTGGCCAGGTGGATCGTTCTGAGCGTGCCGTTAGAAATTGTTGGTATCAGTGGATACGAGAAGGTACCCACGCGCAGAAAACCGGGTCTGGAGCGACCAGAGAGACCACGAGGAGAGTGGAGCGAATGATCGTGCGGCAAGCACTTGTGGACCCCACAGTGACTCGTTAAACGATACGAGCAGGCGTAGTAATTGTTTCACAAACAATTTCTAGACACCTTGCAGAAGTAAATCTTAAATCCAAGCGCCCTTTCCGTGCACTCCCTTTAACACCGGAAAATGGGCAACTGCGCTTACAGTGGTGCCAAGCCATATCAATGTGGACTGTCACATATTTGCAAAAGGTTGTGTTTAGTGATGAATCCCGGTTTGTTTTGGGGACAGATGATAACCGTGTACAGGTGTGGAGCCGCCCTGGTGAGTGGTACAATTCCCCCCACACTGTTCTACGTCACGCGACCCGCACAGCTTGTGTAATGGTTTGGGGGCCATAGCCTATGATAGCCGGTCCACTTTAATTGTGATGCGTGGAACCTTAACGTGCCAACGTTACGTTGATGATATTCTTCGACTCCATGTAGGACCTTTCCTAAATGTTCTCCCAGGGGCAATTTTCCAGCAAGATAATGCTCGTCCGCATACAGAAAGAGTTGCTCAAGACTTTCTACGTCATTTTCACATTCTTCCATGGCCGGTCCGCTCCCCGATTTGTCCCCTGTAGAGCACGTGTGGGATCAGTTAAAACGGCAGATGCCATCGTGTTATTCTTTACATGATTTAGAGTTGGCTGTTCAAGTTTTGTGGGCCCATCTGCCTCAGGACAACATAAGGTGTCTAATCAACTCAAAGCCGGACCGTGTGGCGACATGTATTGCAGCTGGAGGTGGTCCAACGCGCTA